AATAGTTCAAATGGGACCTCAATTTAGATTCTACCAAACACAAGGCTATCATGTTCGTGATAGTGTTAAACCCAAGGTGCAGTCAGACACGAAGGACTCGAAGATAAATAAAGAAAAATGGATTTATTTTAAGACACAAAACAAAAAGATGACGTGGCAGCAAAACCTGAGATGGGGTAGAGGCAGGGCAGCCGACTCGGGAACCGAGAAACCCAGGTTTGATTCCCAGTCATTGCACATCTCATTGTGTCTCTGAGCAGCACACCCTACCCCCAAATGCTCCCCAGGTGCTTTCAATAGCTGCCCACTGCACCACCTGGTGGTGGATGGGTTAAATGCAGAGAGCTAATTTCGTCATTGTATGGGAACATACAATGATGACAACCCATAACACATTATTATTATTACTGGACACAGGGAAACAAGGAGGAACATAACACGACACAACAGGCTGTGGGAAGCACAATCCAGGAACAACGAGGACACACAAAGACGCTGAACTTAAAGGTACACTAACGAGACACAATGATGAACACCTGGGGTGATTGGGATCGGGACCAGGTGAAGCAGGAGTTGGCAACATGAGGGAAGAAACACTGAAGGCGCAGGAAACAGAATTAATAAATAACACAAACACAACACAGATTCTCACAATGGCTGAAGAGTATCAGCCATTCAGATGAAAACAACAACAAAAAAAGACACCATATTGACTGCTACAAACCCCAGAAGTGACTTTTCCTTCAAAGGAAGAAAGGCTTTCATACGATTCTTTTAAAGCTGTAGAAACAAATATAAATATGTATTTTTTTCCCCTATATGTCCACGCCATTGTGAGACTGAAATAAGACTGAGACTGAGATCCAAAACATATATACTGAACACTGTCCGACCCCAAAGACACCAAGGAAGAAAGTCCAGCTCAGAACATCAAACTACTTCAAAGTTATACCAAAGAAGTCACGTTAGATGATTTTAGCCAGTAGTTTTTTTTTTTTTCCATACTCCACGTACTGTAAATGAATTGCCAAGCTTGTCCCCATTTAGATTAAAGTGCTGTCAGATCACTGTGCTGCTGACAAATTGTCCCCTAAAGCCAAGTGGCACATTGTGAATTTTAATCACAACTGGCCAGTTCAGAGAGGGCTTGGAGCCGTCGACACGCTGCATTTTCCGAACTCTTTCATCTTTAATAGTTCACCACAGAAACACTCTTATAGATTAATGTATAAATAAGCAATAGGTTAGCAAGAAAAAAATGATGTGAGTGTGTGACAACTGTATTGTTGGTACTTTGTATTTTAGCACCTTAAAACAGGAAGTATGAGCTGCAGCCATGGAGCTGTGGTTAGCTGTTTCTATTTTGAAGACAGAAGTAGGACAAGGAAAAAATTAGGGTTAAAGGCTCCTCTGAGAGCCGAGGCTATGATAGCCTTTAAGTGTGCATGTGTTCTTCCACTCAGCTGTGTGTTATCTCCGTTACGCAGTGAGACTTTATTGACACTGTCTAATAACTGCTATGAGGGAAGTTATAACCAACAACTCAACGGAGAGCATGGGGAATTATAGAGTTGCCAAAGTCTTCACCTACGTCTTTTCGTTGCCTCACAACTTCTTCCTTATAAATATTACAATTTAAAAAAATATACAACTGAAAAATAGTATATGCTTACATATGTACACACAACTTATATATTATTATTATTATTATTATTATATAACTTATATATAT